AAAAAAAAAGAGTGGTTAGTACCCTGTTTACCTATTATATTAATTTGGTCTCTCTGGCTACAAAAAGCAGAAGCCATCTGAATGAATGAATGAATGAATGAATGAATGAATGAATGAATGGATTTGTTGTAAGGATAGAGGTGTGTCTAATTTAGAAGCCAAAGATTGGAGCCAGGCCTCCTAAATAGCATCGAACACGAAAGTGGAAAACTGCCAGGAACCCTGAGAAGCTTTTTTCGGCTCATCTCTGTGCACCTGCTCAGTGTCCACACCACAGGAGGGCTTTGTGTGCGCCATGTGTGTGCGCTATGTGTATGCGCCACGTGTGTGGCCCAGGGATGGCAGCACAGCTCCTAAGTACTTTCACTCCTCCAGGGAGAAGCGCTTTGTGCGCCAAACACAAAACAGAAGTTGAGTGATTCTTGAACTTTGTTCAAGACCTTATATTGTCAATCTTTAGTAAAAGCCATGCTGAATTAATGTCTAACCTCTAACATACTTGCGAATTCGAAATAAATGTTAAAAGTCATTACCATCAATTTATCCACCAAATAACTACACACCTTTCCTTTTCCTCAGAGGTTCTATTTAGACTCTGACAGAACTTTCTGTTGAAAAATACAACTCATTAATTTATTGAATTTGAACTAAAGTCTCTCTTGGCTTTCCCTGCACATTGAAACTATAAAAGTGTCCTTTATATATGATAATTATCCTCTTGACCCACCTTGAAGACACTTTAGAATCATTGTACTGACTGTAATCAAAACATGGTTTTTCATGTGCTGATCCATCTACAGTCTATTATGCTATTGACTCTTAGGACCAACTGCAAAATGCTTACAGCCAATAGCAAAGAGCAGAGTTTACTAAAATATGGGGCCCTTTGCCTGAATATTGCCAGACTATGGCAATATATACTGTGAATGTATTTATATGTTAACCTGATCAATCACTGGCTATATAAAAATGGCTGCTTATGAAACAAGTCATTCCCTTTTTTAGTCCTTAAATATATACCATGTACTGAAGTTTAAAGTTTAAAAGTTATTTGAAGTAATTCTTTGTCTGTGTTAGCAATTTGATATACAATTAAATTAATTTCTGTCTATATTTATTATTAGGATTTACTGTTCACATTTTTTGTTTAAATTTTGGATATATAAAACATTTGTATGGTTCAAAAGTTAAAACTGTGTTTAAGAAAAGCTTTACTGCAAAGTCTTGACCCATCCTATCCCTGTATTCTATTCATAGCTATCTCCTATAGGTAATCAGTTTGATTAGTCTCTGGATTTTTTAAACCCTGTGTTTCTTTTCTAAAAACAGATTAATATTTTATGTGTATGGTTATTACCATTTCTTGCTACATAGAATTATTCTCTCTATATATACTGTTCTCTGTTTTTCTCTTTTCACTTAAGAAGTGATTTCCAAGAAATTTTTTTCTGAGTTTAAAGAGGTTGCCATTCTTTTTACAGCTCCATAATACTAATTGTGGCTGCAGCACAGTTTATCCAGACCAGTTTCTTATTGGTGGACATTTGGAATGCTGCAATGAATAACTGTGTACATTGGTTTTTGATGTTTAAGGAGCTGTATCTTTAGGATAGATTTCTAGGAGTAGAATTGTTGGATTAAGGGTAAATACACATGTAATTTTGTTAGATCTTAATAAATTCTGCTCGGTGGGGGTTGTAGCATTTTACCTTTCCTTCACGGTATTTGTGTGTCTCTCTGCCCACAACCTTAGCAAAGAGTTTGTTGTCAGCTTTTGGGTTTTTTTCAAGTCTGATAGTGAGAATTGGTATCTTATGCTAGTTTTTATTTTTATCTCTTATGAGTGAAATTGAACATTTTATTCATATTTTTAAGGGCCATTTGTATATTTCTCTGAGCTGTCTGTTTGGAGGTTTTACATTGTAGGGAACTATTAGTCACGTTTTTCTAGTAGTGAGCACTCTTTAACCTAGAATAAATTGTCACTGTCTTCTGGCTCTTTTGGTACCAAATTCTTCCACTCCATATCTTTATTGGGAGAATCACATTCAAAATGAGTTTTTAAAAAGTTCTTATTTTTGAATGCAAACGTGGATTTGTTGTCATATGGATGTAAATTAATTTTGTTGTCATAAAATGCAGACTGGTACCAGAACACCAATTTTATTCATTTTTTTATAGAAATGTGATTAAAGCCACAGCACTTCAAACTTCTGGTTTATACAGTTGCATTAGAAGAAAATTAAAATATAGAAATAGCAGGATGCTGGTTGTATATTTGGGAGGTGTCTTTAATAGTGATACCATGAAGTGATGAAATTGAATTACTTTGATTTATTTAACTATCAATTACTAAACTGAGTGCTATTGAAGTCAATCTGTGTTTTAAAATTAGAGTGAAATGGAAAAATCAGCTAACTTCCTGGCAACTTATTTGTGTAGGAGTTAGCTTAAAGTGCAGAGGAACAGATGGGAGCATTTAATTTATAGAAATAGTCACGGTAGAGTTTCAGGGTTGTGCCTGTTGGTTTTAGTTGTTGTAAAGAAGCAAGCCGTCTTGTGTGGGACAGACTTAAAGAGGATAGTAATGCCATCCTTTGTTTAGCCAGGTAGCAGTAGTGAGAATATTTAAGATCATATTGATGTGTATCTAAAGCTATAGAAGTTATAAAATATTTGTAATCATCATAGTATCTATAGGTTAAGTGGGTGCTGATTGCATTAAATGTGTTCCTTCCCTGGACAGGTAGTAGCAGTAGGCCCTGTTCTCACCCTCAGGCACCTGTAGACTCACTTTATCTGAAGACTGCAACTGACACACCCTCTGAGAGAAAAGATGTACTTGGTTTTATTTGTGTGTATATATACTATATATACAGAGGGTGCCAAAAAATGTATACACATTTTAAGAAAGGAAAACTATTAAAATTGTAATTCTCAATATATACCAATAACAAAAGATGAATACGAGTCATGTTTGACTTCTGCAATTACAAGAGGTGCTCGAAGTGGTTACCATCAGCATCCAGACACTTCTGATTACGGCGAACTACTGCTTGAGCAACACTGACCAAAGTGTCCACTTGTATAAACATTTTTTTTTGGCACCCCCGGTATATTGACCACATACCTATTTTTTTCAAAATAGAACAATTGTGTAAAAATCTGAACAAATTGAAGAATGCTTTAAAATATAAAAAATTTAGTACTTTGTAGTCATTGTACATTTTCTCAAAATATTAAATGGCCTTGGAATATTTAAAAATTAACTACTATAATAGGATTTACACAGATTTTTAGAAAAACTTTTATATAAAACAGTGATAGTACTTTTGTATAAACAGATGTCTTTTTTACCCTTTTAGCTATTTTTGTTCCAGAAAAGACTCTGTTTAAAGGATGGCCATTGTAGATTATCACTATGAAATAACCCACCTAACTGTTAACTGGCTACAGTCAGCTGTTCAGAACCTGCCAATGAGCAGCAAACCAAGAGAACTGTCAAAAGTTTCACACGAAAAACCTTTGACCTTCTGTCAACATTGATTTACTTTTAATCTTATAAATAGCTTGATTTTTTGGTTTCCTAACTCTTACTAGATTAGAGGCAATGCAGTAGTACAGTAGGAAGGGTGAGGTGGAGCAAGGATAGAAAAGGCATGTGTCAGCAGCAGCAAGTGATGGCGGACAGAAATGCAGGTCCAGGAACACTTGAAAACATTCTGTGGTAGACTTTCCTGTAGAGGTAAAAATTTTAAGTAATAATATAACAATAAAAATAATTAAGCACAAAATCCCCCACCCCACCAAATTCTTCACACTTTAGTAACTCATACACTAGCTTTCTGACTCTGGGCATGTTAAACTCTGAGTCCCATCTGTAAAATGGGTTTATTGTTTAAGGCAAGAGTCATTGTGTGAATTACATAGCTGAGATTGCATATTTGAAAACATTTCGCACAATATCTGGCACAAAGTAAGGCTTTGCAGCTGTTTGTCATCTTGAGAATCTTTCAGTGATTTGAGCCATAGTAGTTATGATCAGTTGTACTTGTACTTTTTTTGGTTGTATTCTATCCAGAATGTCAAACCCATACTTGTTTATCTGCAATTCACAAATCCAAAAAAAGCTCTGAAAGCCACCTAAGTTTGTCACATACTATTTTGGCCAAAAAGCTGATGCAAACTGACATCAGGCTATGTCGAATCTTTATTTACCCTACTTTGTACATTATTTGAGATTTCAATGTGTTTTACTGAGAAATGTAGAGGTGTGTGGTAGTGGGGTACTGCTGCAGACCGTGCCAGAGGAATTATGTGTGCATCCTTATTATCTTTCTAAAATCTGAAAAATTCTGAATCTCAAAATACATCTAGCCTAATAGTTCTGAATGAGGAATTATGGACCTGAAATATTTAGTATAGTTTTGAATTGAACAGAAAAATTCTATATGGTCTTATTGAATGAGAAGACACTGTAGGTACAAATGTTTAAATTGCCTTAGGAACGTTGACTGAGCTAATAAACACAAGTTGTTGTATTCTCTTCCTTGCCTTCACAGCAAAATGAAAAGGAAAGCTTGTTGAAGGAAAGAGACCACATTTTGTCAACGCTGGGCGAGACAAAGCAGAACCTCACCGGGCTCTGTCAGCAAGTCTGTAAAGAAGCAGCTCTAAGTCAAGAGCAAATACAGATACTCGCCAAGTACTCAGCATCAGATTGCCCACTTTCATTTTTAATTTCTGAAAAAGAAAAAAGGACTTCTGATGGTGCGTCCATGTTACCATCGATTCTGAGTTTACCTGCGGGCCCTCTGGCTGTGCGGCCTGTGGGTGAGCAAAGCCCTTGCTATCCCAGTGTGAAGGGCAGTGAGTCTGGCTGTGTGCGGGGCCAGGGGTCAAGGCCAACCTCCATCGCAGCCTCTGAACCAGCCGGGCTTGTGGAACAGTGTCGGCAGAGCACAGGCATCTCAGATTTCTGTCAGCAGATGACAGATAAATGTACTACTGATGAGTAAACTCGCATTCACTTCCTGGAAACCATCTAATGTTCTACTGAAGTTTGGACACCTGTCTTGAAAGCCTAACATACCATCTGTCTCTTAACAATATTGTTTTTCTCCCCTGAGTAGTTTGCTGCTGAGGGAATTCCTCTGAAGTGAACCCTGACTTTTCTTCCTGACTCCACAAGAAATGCAGAAATGATTCGCCTCCTGGATACCAGAAAAACCCCACATGAAAATGTAGTAAAGCTTTAAAACTCATGTTTTAAAGAATAGCTGTTAGTAATAACTCTTCCCCTTATGCAAAGTAAGTATGAGAGTGAAAACTGCAGCCTATCAAACAACAGCTGAACAGCTTTGAAGCTGTTCTGCAGATCGTTCCTACTAAAGAAGTAGCCTGCAAAAGTTTAACAGCCTGACCTTTTGCAATACACTGGGTTAAAAGAGAATTTCTCCCTGTGGAACGCTGCTAGAGTTCAGGTCTGCTCAGAAGCAGGGCGTCAGCTACTGGGAACACTTGTGTAGAGCCGCGGTGTGGAAAAGAAAGGTGTCGTCTCGCCTGCCTCCTGGAGCTCCACGCTCCAGCTCTTACTAAAACCAGGACGGTTGGCCTGCACTGTGACTCCTAAGCTACGCTGGGAACATTTCGGAAGCGGCAGGCAGCTGGCCTGAGGTAGAGGTTTTTATTCCTTCTCAATGTCAACTTGAGAAATTCTGGCTGAATACAAAACAGATAAGTGTCATTTTCCCTCTTTTTTTCTCTTCAGTCTCTGCCACACCTGAGTCCACCCTGCTCTTTCCGTCTCCTGACAGTCTTGTCCCTTTAGAAGAAGCACTAGGACTCAGGATACAGTGGCCTGCGCGAGCGCATTGGCGGGGTCGTCCCAGCCTCCATAGAAGCCTGGCGCTTACCGAAACACGAGGCCGTTTGTCCTCCCACCACAGCTCGCCCGTGCAAGGAAACCAGTCGTCATGGGGAGAGAAAATTGCCTGCATTTAGTAGGAGTGGCAGTTATTTCTCATCCTGTTTTTGAAATCCTATGGTTTACTTGTAAAAAGCATTATCATAGATAAAAATATATCTGCAACAACCGTGCAGGTTTGTGAAATAGGATGAAACGTGATCTTGTTTCATGGTGGGTTTGAATTTGGAAACCAGATTTAATCTTGTTCTCTTCCCCAAATCTGGTGTATGAGGGCACACAAATCATTTTGACTTGAGCATTTAAAAAATGAGTCTTTGTGTTTATTCAATTCTGTTTTAAAATACAGTTTCTATAAGCTGAGCACTTATCCCATAACATTTTGCAGTAGTTCTTAGCCAGTCTGGTGTTACAGACTTGTTTGAGAGCTATTGAGCTTCTCAACAGTTACAAAAAATTGCATATATTCGCATTCACAGGGACATTTGCAGAACCCAGTTTTAATAGTTTCAAAGGAGTAGTTTGTGGTGTTTGGATTAGAAAATACTTCAGTTCACCAAGATCAGACTCCTGAGAAAGAAACTTTTATAGAGCGCATCCTGAATCTAGCAACGGGCCTGTGTAGCTAATATGGAAGACGACTCGCCCTCGTTTAGGAACGTGTCTGAAGCAAGTAGACCTTTGCTGTGAGAGTATAGGGGACCACACTTAATACTTCAAAGTAATTCGTCAAGTGTTAGTTACCTTTTTTGATAGGGGGCAGGTTGGAGGAGATAGTCCTAGTATATTTTCAGTGGTTTTTATTTATCTCTGTTACTGACTTAGTTGTTATAAGAGAAAACTAGTTGGGCTTGTTTATTTTCTAAAGGCTCTTATGAATATACTCAGTGATTTGTCAGGGAGAATGATATTCTATGATAATGCATCCCATACTATAACACACCCACACACCCCCATACCCATGTAGCTATTTCTTTGATACTTGTAATTTTAAATTTTAACTTCAAAATATAAAATAATATAAAAACTTCCCTGGTTTACACAATGTAAAATCTTACACAAGCCAATGGAATCCTTATTCTCCTACCTCAGTCTACACTCAACTGTTTGACACCAGTTTGTGTGCAAATGTCACATGATCTTTGCTTTAATTGCTACTGTACATAACTACTTTGAAAGCTTACTTCCTATTTTATGGTAAAACCTAGTTGTCTCCAGAGTTTAATTATGATTTTTAAGACATTTCTCTCTACATATGAACAATTCAGCATTAAGGGTTTATTTTAATGGTATTCTCTGGTTATGGCCAAGTGTAATATTTTGTAAAATAATAGCCAGCGTATAATAGAAGTAACTACACTACCTCATACCTCCATGATTTTCAAGTTGTAATACAGAGGAACAGAAAGATAATGTCTTGGCGATAAGGTGGGAAATTTTTCTATATGTTGCATAGCATTACACATTTATGCCTATTTTAAAGTTAACTTCTAAAGTTTTTTCCTAAGAAAATTTGTTTTAAGTTGATTTTTTTTTGAAGGGTGCTGGAGACAAATGACAGGATTATGTGTATACAGTGTATATCTTTTCCTTCATGCAGAATTTTCGAAAGGTTGTTTTCAGTTTGTATATTGCATATTTACATGATCATAGTTCCTTATTTTATGAATTGGCCTTTTCAGTGCTTGATGATTTTTAAAAAGCTTTTAGGTCTAACTCAGTAAAATAACATTACCTTAAATTTTTTTTTCCCATTATTTGAGTTCTACACCTATAGCAAATAATTTGTTATTAAATTGTTATGTTCAGAGCAAATATGGATATAAATCTTGGTTCCATTTGTAAATTTTATAACGTAATTCACTGTAGCTTAATGCTTAACCAGTTTTAAATAAGGAATTAAATATAATATATCGGATGCAGTAGACGATACAGGTTGCATGTGGACATTCAGCCACGTTAACAACTTGGAAAAAAATCAAACCAATGGCAATGTTATAATGATTTCTCAGGTGAAATTTTTTCAGTTATAAAACATCTATTTTGAATATGTAAATATTTTAAGTGTTTTATTAAGGCATGTAATAAACTGTTCTTTGAAACCTGTTGGGTAAATGAAAATTTAAAGCCATAATGGCATACTAATTGTAAATAAACACCTATTGATTTTTTTGTATCTTTCTTAATATAATTTCCTAACAATGCAATAAAACCACTAAATTTATATATCCATATCCTATTAAGATCATGTTTCATTAAAAGTAAACTTTCATCGTATTTAATTTACATTTTCTTCTTAATGTGCTTATCCAAATGTAGCAAAACTGTAAGTGTTAGATGTTGATGAGAAATTAACAGTTAAATAAAATTCCCTAAAATTGCTTCTAATTGAATAGAGTTGTACATTCCATTTCCATTTTCTCACCTCTCATGTGAATTGACTAATCTTAGTCTTTTGATCAATGATCAGTATGACTATAGCATTTTTTTCTGAGGGACTCTTTCATTATTTGATTATCCTATATGCCTGAAAAATACATATATTACCAGCACAAGGGTGTTAAAGAAGCCTTGATTTTAGCCTTCTGATTTACTAAATGTCAGTCTCTGGATAGAGATGTAAGGCTTTTTACGGGGTACTGTGTCTGTCAGTGTCTGTTTTAAAGATTTACCTGCTGAGTCAACTCTACCATGTTATATTCAACTTCTAACCAGGCCTTTGTAATCAAGCTTGGAGCTCAGAGCTGTTGGCAATCCATTACATGGGCTTTGGGTCTAGCAAGAGTGAGTCTCAGTGGGACGATTTGCATCCTAGGTGTTTGGCAATTCCCAGAGACACAGATAGTGGGGGCAGGATATAGAACGTGGCGTCTAGTGGGTAGAGGCCAGAGATGTTGCCAGGCATCCTACAATGCACAGGGCAGCCCTCATCACAGAGTTATCCAGCCAAGATGTCACCTTGCTGAGGTTGAGAAACCTTCACTAGACCAACAGTGGAGTCAAGATGACTTGTAAGGAAGTGCTCAGTCATGTGAGATAGTGGGATATCTACAAGAGCGCAAAGGAGAAGGGAGTATGACGTGGAATTTCACCAGGCTTTGGCAGATTTCAATATAAGGTTAGCCTGGGAAGATGAGGCGATGTGGCACCAGTGAGCCTGGTATGTTCGTGGAAAAAAGGGAGGTGTGTCACAGTGGGAGAGGGGACCCAACCTAGACCATGAGCTCCGAGGACAGGACACTGAGTGTCCTGTTACCACAGTGTCCCCAGCATCTTCCATAGTGCCCTACACATAGTGACCTAAACACTGAAGGCCTGAGGTCAGACTTGAAGGATTTTAAGGACAGAAGTGTAAATAGTGAATGTTGAGGTTTCTGAGGGGGACCAGTCAATAATGGCCTCTTCCTGGCCAGTATTTCGGGTCATCTGAGAAATAAAAAGGTGGTGAGTGAAGTCCACATTGCTGATGGAGGGACAGGGCTTTATAGCTCTTTAGCCCAGTGAATTTGCTAAAAGCGAACTCCGGAATTAGGCAGACTTACCCAGTCCCACCAGCCGTCTCAGCTCACACCCAAAAGGGCAGAGCCCTTGGAGGAGCAGGAAAATGTATTCGCCCCTGGCAGGCAAATCCCAAGACTAGGGATGGCTGAGCCAAGGGGGCTTAGTTATGCTGACAATGGACTGATGAGAATCAAAGACCAACTCCGCAGGGCCAGTGGGAGTAAAGGGATGCAGAGGTCAGGTGTTCAGGGAAAGTCCTTCCTCGAAACCAGGACTGGGGAAGGGTGTTCCGCCATTCCTCAGCTTTAAGCTCTCTTGAAACATTGGGCTTCACCATGGCACCACTGTTCAACCGTAATGATATCCCAAATGTGACTATAAATCCCCTCCCAATAGTATACTTGAAGGGGGAAACCAGTTCAAAGAGGAAATCCCTTTGGAAATTAAAATCCAAACACAAAGTCTACAGGAATTAAATAACAAATTATTTTACCGTCATGAGTTGGAAGTACACAAATTTTAGGGAAAATAAATCCAAAAAAGATTGTCCCAAATTTCTCATCCGGATCAGCCTTAACCAGATTCTTGGATGGAGTGGAGATTCTTACAGAAGTTGTAGCTGGAATTTTCTGTTATGAGGTAGTAGTTCCCGCTGGGCCCCAGAAGAAACTAGATTCAAGGCCGAATCTGTGATGTGCTCATTTTTTAGAATCTGAAGACTTCGCACAAGATTATCACAGCCTTGGCCCCACACCCAGCCTGGTTTTGAAACAAGCCATTCCCAGGCTTGTTAAAGCCGTTAGTTATCCCAGACCAAGCTACATTCCCAGCTCTCAGTACCTGTGCTGCCAAAGACTGGGGTAGAGACTCTGAGAAAAAGATGGAGAATTATCTTGGTTTCAGCTTCCCCCAAATGCCAGTACTGTGGAACTCACAAGCGGTGATCGCAACATCCATTGGGAGAACTCTCAGAAAAGGCTTCATTTTGGCCTTAGGCATTGGACATGTGGGGGACCAGAGAGACTTGACCATTGCATAATGCCTTCATTTACGTGTCCCCTTCCAGCAGGTGTTTCTGGCACCCAGGACCCATTGGATGAGGGCTCCCTCTAGGGGCTTCGAGACCATGCCTGTGTACTGGCATTTTCAGTGGTGTTTAGGCTGTCGGTGATTATTGCAGTACAATGATTATGCCTAAGAGAGATGCCTCCTAGGGACGGATTTTCCTTTACGTGGACTTAAGCACTCCAGTCGCAACTATAGACAAGTCACACAGACCCAAGGCTAGCCTCTCACCATTCCCTCCTTGGGCCTAAACTCAGAATGGAATTTGGGGCGGTGGCTGTAGCGCTGGTGATGCTGGCCTGGCACTGCTACTTGAAAGCTACAGCCTTGCTAGCACTCTGAAGTGCTCTGGATCCCAGCTCCCCTAAAAATAGCAGGAAAGCAGCATGTATTCTTCCCAGGACTGCCTAAAATCCCTGTGACGTCTTCCTTTTCTCCTGGAAGCTGCGGCAGCGGTGCCCTGAGGCTGCCTTCCTGGGCTGAGGGCTGGCAGCTGCTGGGTCTTAGCTTATAAGGCTGCTGTGCTGTGGGGTTTGGAGAGGATGCCCACAGGTCTGCTGCCTGCAAATTAACTCATCCCACATTTCCTAAGGCCTCTGGCAGTCCACCAAGGGGGCCTTTTGGGATATTTCTGCCAATTGAATTTAAGTTCACAGATTTGAGAAGGTGGGCATTGATTGACAGACATCAAGTTCATATTAAACTGATATAAAGACTCTTCATCTAATTTCCTTCTCTCGGCACATTAGGTACTGTGTTTGGAGAATGCAACTTTTCCTGGGCTAAGTTCTTTATTGGCTGGAGATTGGCTGGTTTTCAAAACAGGTGGCCCAAATGCTGTCATAATCTTAAAGTTTTCATGATTAACTCTGGCTCACTTTAGACTCTTGGCATTGAGCCAATATAACTTCTGATTCCCTGAAGAAATGTTTCCATTCCTATGAGGCCATCCAAACCTCTGCTGAGGTCCTGGTGACTTTCGCTAAAGATGCCCACTCAGCCTTTTCAAAGGAGGGCAGTTGGGACTTCACAGAAAGTCACATTCTGTGAGTAAAATACCATAAGCTACAAAGACCCTCCAGATTCAATGCTCACAGGCTGGTCTAAAACCTCTCACCCAGGCCGACTGCACTGCTGTGAAAACCCGCTGGGCCTGCACACACCACCAAAGTCAAAATTCCCTGGCCTCTGCTATATTCTGTGGCTCCACTAGATTCCAGATCCCGTGTGTATTTTGCTCCCCAAATTCTATTCTGATTTCAATTTCTCAACGTCTCTAAACACTACCCCCGCCAAATATTAGTTTCCAGAGAAGCATTTCATTTTCCCTTACCAAATTATAAACAATGAGAAAAAATGAAAGAAGGGTGGATGGAAAAGCAAAATAAAACCCTAGTTACTCATAAAGATTAGTGGAAGGAGTAGCTTAGATCAAGAGCCTAGTGAGAACTCCAGAATGAGGCTAGCTTACCTTACCAGCTGTGTCCTGTTGTCAGAGAGAACTAACTTTTCTCCATTTCTGGTTTCCATGGAGAGATTTTCCTCAAAGCAGCAGCTCATCACCCATACTGCCTCTGGTTTCATCGGCATGTGAAGGAGCAGAGCACAGCCAGCGCTACTTGGAGACAGGCATATCCCAAGAGGAAGAGTGACCACACTGAGCAGAGAACAACCAGTTATTCTTCTTGAATCTATCAGTCAGCTCGGTCACTCCACCTCCCCAGGGACAAAGTTAGTAAAAAGGTTAAAGGAAGATCTTCTCCCAGAGGTCGGAGCACAGGATGCTAAGGAGAGGAATCACATGGGGGCAGTGAGTCTGGAGATTTTGGAACGTTTCCTAGAAAGAGCTAGATATCCAAAGAAGGAGCCCCAAGGGAAAGTTATGAACTCACCCACCCGCCCTCCCATTCACCCATTCTGTCCCTCATGGGAACATAGGTTCAGGTTTAAAAACAAAATGTTACCTTGTGCTTAACCCCAAACATTTCATTTTCCTCTCCCTCACCATTATTATCTACACCTTCTTGAAGTATAAATGAAAAGATAATGGGAAAGATATCAAAAATTGAGTACAGCACATTCCTTTTTCATTGAAACGTAGCCGACTTTTCAGCAGACACTGTTTTCTGTTTCCCCTCTCAGTTTACATTGACTTACGGTTCAGAACACCAACTATTTCCTAAACAGTTCATTCCTTTTCTTCAGGAGACTGCACCTAAATCACTTTCTAGATACCATCTTGATATGCAGGTTTTTGATTGATATTAACCTCTTGCAAGGAGAACCTATTAATAATACCCAGAGCACTATTAAATATGGAAATATCCACTCTAATCTTTCGGAAGTAATACCTCTTCAGTGCACCTCAGAAACTTAAGTGTCCTTTTGCCTCGGACTGTTAATCTCAAAGAATTTTTCTTTGTGCCCTAACTATACTTCTGTTTTGTTTGCTTTGATTTTAAATGATAACCTTCCATGAACAAGAACACTAGTAGTACTTTTAAAATAAAATTTTTCTGAAGAGAATTTTTTTAAAAAAATGCCATATTTTGGCCTCGGCTGAGCTTCCTATCTGGTTCTTTGAAGACCTCAATTCTACACTCAGCACCTGATAGTTGAGGGGTCTGTGGGCGGGGAACCATGGAAAATCTCCTTGGCCCCAAATCTTCCATCCCATTCCTAGGACTTTGGCATCAGCTCAGACAGCTCTCTTTTGGCGACACAGATGAATGAGTAGCATGTGGGAGCGGGGCTTAAAATGGAATCAGGGATGGAGTTTGACACAAGAATGAGGAGCGGAGCATGTGTAAATTAAGGAGACCCAGCT